TTTTTTTTACTTAGAAATTTACTAACAAAAAGAGTAAAAATATCTCATATGCATAATTTAAATTTAAATACATTGATATAGAATATGAAAACTGTACGACAGTCAATCATAGTAAATTTAGAGGTGAACTCAAATCTGTTTTCAAAATTTAAATCGGAACATCCTACTGGCTACTGAGCGTAATGATTGAAGTTACTGGCAGTATTTTTTGAAAAAAAATGTTTCTAATTTAATAAAGTAATAAATGGTGACATGTGCATGCGCGTAGGTACAGTGACAGACGTATTATGATGCCCTATAATAGGGCCTTATACAACGTGATCGATACTACGAACTACACACACTAATGTTCATTTACTTCCAACACATTCACAAGACAGTGGTGTGGAAACTTATACAACCTTGTCGTACATCGTATTCAAAGTTGCGATAATATATATTAAACTAAGTGTATCCATAACAGCAGGGTGATTATTATATCAGTAAACACCAGTTTCAAATAATTATTAAATATCAATTCGATAATATTATTCATATCGACACAGACAAGAAGTATTGACGTCTTTTAAAGCACTACAAAACGAGCACAGCTAAAATCACCCTACATTATATCATAAACGATAAGCCTACGAATCGTTCTTATCGAGCATTGATTCAATATTTAAGAATCGTTTATTTTCGTTTTTTGAACGTAAACATAACATGATTTCTTTCCACAGATATTCCACTCGATACATAAGTAAAACACTCTCATCACAGAAAAAAATCTATTTCCTGATTGGTCCAATTTTCCAAATATTGAAACATTACACTATGTAGCTAAAAATAGTACACAACCTGCATTAAAAAATTATAATATGTGAGTGGCCTATCTGAAATAATAAAATACGTGAGACTGTTTGGCTATACTTACCTTTTTTACAACTCATTTGCGCACAATTTACGAACAATAGAAACTTTTTTTGAGAGAGAAATTTATCCACGTAAGGGTGTACCTACATAATCTGGGTACCTCCAAATTTTCGAATTGATCATTTCTGATGGTGGAAAATTATTATACTCAAACAACATTTTCCCTCAACTTATAAGGCTCAGGACTTCCTATATATATTCTGATGTTATATGACATTATGACTTATATGTTATATAAGTATATCGTATATGACTAGTGGGTTTAAAAATATTGTTTTAACTACCTATTTATTTTAGAACAGGTGCCTTAGAAAGCCATTATTCACAATTTTGTCAAATTTCAAATTACACAAATTAAAATTAGGTACAATCATTTACACAAAAAAGTCATTCAAATTTACAAAATGCAAAAATTACAATTACAATAATTTTTCATATCAAAACATTTATTTATTTATTTGTTAATACATAATATTTAATATTTATTGGTACGCGTTTGCATTAAAAATGTGAAACGATCATTTTTTTGGGATTTATATTCAAAATATATTATTTTCATATTTTTTTCATATAATTTGGTTTTTTGAATATTTCTATTCTACACATGGGTATTTTTTTCTTTTTTTTAAAAATAGTATTGACTTGAATTTCCATTAGTATTTGAATAATTCAGTGAATGTGAGGATGGGAGTTATACAATTTACTATTGAAGTGCATGTGAACGTTTTCAGCTCCGTTCGTTTTTCTTGGGCTATTGTCTGGTTCACTAGCCCATAATTCTACAAGGAGCTATTGAAATTATTTCAGTAAATGCGTCCGGAACTTCATTAGAGTTTAAATCAGGTAAACCGAAAAAGTGTTTAATACTTTAATAGCCACCTTCCAATTTTAGAAGCATTTTTCTAGTATTCTTTTCATAACACTTTATTTTTTTTCAAACTCCTGAACCAACTATGTCCTTATCAATTTACGGGTATTCAATTTATATCAATAATATTTATGGCAGTTTAAGACATCCTGTACACCCAAAACTGTACCTGTCTTCATTGTTCACTATTTTGTGCTCAAACGAGTTGTCGTAAATTTAAAATATATATTAATATGTGCGCAAACGAGTCTGTTTATATTTTAATATGTATATACCTACTATATTATTATTATGAGTAACAAATTTTGAAATCCAACGTCTGAATCTAGAACCATAAACCGTCATCGCCAATGTATATTATAATAATTTACAATATATCCCGACCGTTTGAATAGTTAGAAGTCCAATAGGCAGTCCAATATGACTACAATAATATTGGCTCATCCAATGAGCGATGTTATGTGAAATAATAATATAACAATAATAATTTTATTAATTACTAGGGTTTCGATTTGAAGGAAATATAATTATTATTAAAGAAGCATTTAAAATGTGAAAAAAAGACCAAAAAAAAATCATTTTATCTATATAAAAAGCGATTACGAAATGTACTACTAAATTTGATTAATTTGATTTAATTTAACAAGTTTGTCATAAAAAAAAGTTAACTACCATATTATACAAAATAGATAAAGTAACTTTAAACAAATACCTACTTAATTTATATCGCCAATAATAAATCCATTAAAACTAATTTTAAACATAATATCGACACAAGTTCTTATCAATCCCGTTGAAATGTATAAAAAAAACTACCAGGTCAATCGATGTATACAAATCAAAAAAGAGAAAAAATAAAAAAATAAGAGATTTATGGGTAAAAAAGTTAAAATAAATTAAAAAACGGTTTATCCATTATCTTAAAAATTAAATGAAACCCAATTTAATACAATAAATACTTTTCTATTGCTATTAAAAAAAAAGGCATTTGCCTTCAAAACCGAACCTTATTAATTACCAATATATTGTTGCACCACTGTGACTGTGTACCTACGTAGTATTATAGATTATCTTAATAAAACTATATATGTAAGAATGGCCGGATCTTGCGGGGGTAGTCGGGGATTTATCCCCTAGCTGGCGTATAATTTTTGTGGACGTATTTTTAAGGTTTTAAATTTGAAAATTGAAAATGGATTTTAAAACAAAAGTCAAAACTACAAAATGGTTTTTTACAGGACATGTGTAATATTAGGTATGGGAATAAAATAAAATAATTTTATTTCCAATAAAGATAAGTAGGTAGGTAATAATTAATAACATTGATTTAAAAATTAAAAATTAAAAAGTACAAAATATGAAATAGGTACGCAGTGCCGTGGAATTACCCTCTACAACTGTCAGCTGGGAGTGTAGTACACGTAGACATAGATCATAGACAGGATTGGTTAGGCTAGCTACCGAGAAAATCTCGGTAGGCCGCTTAAAGTTCGGGCCGGTCGTGTGAGTGAAAATAAATTAGTGTTTAGGTATAAGCTCGTAATAATTACAGACGTAATTTTGGGCCACTGAATATGTAAATAGGCAGCTTAGAAATGAAAATCTCGATGTGCCGATACATGCCAATCCGGTGTTTAATTATAATTTATAACTAATATTATATACTTTAGGTTTTTATGTTATACTTATGGAAAATTATTAAATATATATTATACCTGGGTAAGTTGTATAAAAAAAATATATAAATAAATAATAACCTATTCTAAAAGGTGGGCAAGTCAAACGGAATTTCAAACGCTCATAAAAATTTAATTTGACTTTCTTATAGACATTTTTTTTTTTGATAAAGGTAGATAATCTCATAAGGAATCATGTATTACATTTTCAAATCTTAGATTTAAAAAGAAAAATGTTGACGAATTCTTAACTCAAAATAATTTGCTAATTTTCGTGATTTTTCCATATCTTGTCAATTTTTGAACTTTAAATGCTTATAAAAAAAAATTGTGACTAAGGATTTTTAATATTTTTCATCTGCCTTTGAAACAATATATTAGGAGCCTTTTATTAAATTGTCAAGCTTTCGCAACCAACAAATAAAATTTTATTGATATTTTTAGAAAAAAAACTAAAAAAAAATGGAAAATAAAAATGTCCCTAAACAGTTCAAAATAAATTAAAATATTTTGAAAATGTTTTCGTGTATAGGAAATGCAAATATAAACAACTAGTGAAAATTTCATGTATATACGTTAATTTGTTTTAGAGTTACACCAAAAACCAAAATCGATTTTCTCGAAAACAGATTTTGCGTAAAAATTCCCTTTTTTCCTTAATTTTTCTTTTGTTTTTCACGGCGCATTTGAAAACTACTGGGAAATTTTTACTTTTAACCCCCCCAAAGTACCAACTAGATTCACTTTCCTATCAGAAAAGCTACTGTTGAAGAAAATCCAAGCACTTTTACTGTCCTAACACGTGATGACAGCCACAAAAATAAAAAAAAATTTAAAAATTTAAAATAAAAACACACATCATTGTAAAATCAGTACATTCATCGTTTCACTCAGAATCTAATATTATAAAATTGTTTTCAATAATTATTAAATATAATAGGAACTTGTATAGGTAATACTATTATATTATATTAAATAATATATTATAATACATAATATTTGTAAAATTATTGCAAATATAATTTTGAAAATTATTAAAAGTATAAGTTGCATAAAATGTGTAAAATATGTAAATAATTTATAATAATAATTATAATATTTATAACTATTCACAAATTCTAACTTATACTTTTAAATTTTAATAATTTTCAAAATTATATTTGTAATAATTTTGGTATCCCGACAATCGAGAGAAAGAAAAAGAGCGAATACAAAATGAGCGAATACAAAATGAGCGAATAAAAATATGAACGAAAACATATAGAGCGAAAAAATATATAGAATCGTTTTCGCTTTAAATACTGTGTACTAATATTGGTTAAATATATTAAGTATATTACTTTACTTATATAAATTATAATTTATAACTATGTGAAACTACAGTGAAATATTTTAGGATTCGAAAAGTCCGCGATAACGATTCGATAAGATTACGTTTATGATCATTTGTCTTATCTGAGTCACTGTCGTCGTACTTATGTTGAGTTTGTCATTTTAGTCGTCCGCCGGAGTTCTTATATTAATGTGGTCTTTAACGTGTAATAATGCAGTATATTAAGTCACAACAAGGAAAACTTTTAATACAGTTAAATAGTTACTTATATCGGAAAGAAAAAATACATAAAGATGTCGAATATTGGCGATGTATATAAATTCAAACGCCCTGTACATAGTTTTATGTACAGGGCGTTTGAATTTAAAATACGAAGAAATTATTAAAGGCCCTTCCGATCATAATAATGTTGCCGATATAATTAAAAATCAAGCAAAAGTAGTAGTCGAAAATATTAAAAACCGCGCCGTTGAAACTCAAGATAATCCTGCAGTTATAATAAGTGAGTCGTCATCTTCTGTAGTTCCAATTGTTTTTTGTGCACTTCCACAGATCGCATACTTGAAACGTACAATTCAAAGAACGAGACAAAGAAATTGCTTAGCTCCACCTAATCCTCAAATTCTTGATGATTTACACCAATTGCCTATTGAATATAAATTGACTACTCATGGTAAACAATTTGTTTTATATGACAGTGTCGATGACTATGGTTTGTCCAACCAACGAATTATAATTTTTTGTACATCTGATAGTTTGGATCTGATGTCAAAATCCGATCACTGGTTTTCTGATGGTACTTTCAAATCAGCTCCACCTATTTTTAATCAAATCTAAACATGATAGATGTATACCAACCTTATATGCACTATTACCCGATAAAAAATCATCTACTTATGTGCGTTTACTAAAAAAATTAAAAGAAATAAAAAATAGTTTAAACCCAAAATATATTTTAACTGATTTTGAAAACGCCTCTATTAATTCTTTTAAAGAAGTATTTCCACAAATCGAAAACCGTGGTTGCTTTTTTCATCTCAGTCAATGTATTTGGCGAAAACTGCAGACTATAACTTCAATGCAGGAAAAATACATCAATGACCCAAATTTTTCTATTCAGATTCGCTTACTACCAGCACTTGCGTTTGTTCCAATAAATGACGTAGAAAAAGCATTTGAGGAACTTTTAGATACTGAATACTACAAGGAACATGAGGATTTTCTTCAACCAATAGTGGACTATTTTGAAGATACATGGATAGGCAGACCAACTCGAAGACAGGGAAGAAGAAATTCAATATTTTCAATTCAGATGTGGAATTGTTATGAAGCGACAAAACATGGGTTACCAAAAACAAATAACTCTATTGAAGGTAATCAGAAATTAGTTAATAACTTGCAATCATGTATATTATATAAATTATATTTAATTGTTTTAGGCTGGAATAGAGGCTTCAATTGTCTATTAGGGTCGTGTAATCCAACAATTTGGAAGTTCATAAAAGCCCTTCAAAATCAACAGACTTTAGTAGATATGCAGTTACATCAAATTAATAGTGGCATACGTTCGTCCAATAAAAAAAAAATATATAATGATTCTGCCGAAAAATTAAAAAATATTGTTGACGATTGTTATAATATTCCGACAATTCAATATTTAAAAGGTATCGCATATAATTTTTCATTGCAAGTATAAATGACAAATATGAGATATAAATGTATTAATTCTATAATTATATGTATGTGCAAATAATTTATTTTAATTATAATTTTATTATATGTATGTGCAAATAATTTATTTTAATTATATTATAATATTATTTTTTTTAGCGAGTATAAATGACAAATATGAAGTATAAATATATTAATTCTATAATTATATGTATGTGCAAATAATTTATTTTAATTATATTATAATATTATATTTTTTCACTCTATATGTATTCGCTCATATTTTTATTCGCTCATTTTGTATTCGCTCTTTTTCATTCGCTCATTTACGTTCGCTCTTTTTCTTTCGCTCAATTGTCGTAGAACCAATAATTTTACAAAAATTATATATTAGTTTAATTTTTAATATAATATTGTGCACATATTAGTATATTACTAATATATTTAATGATTATTGACAAACATTTTATATTATTAGAACTATTATTATTTATTTATATATTTATTTACTGTTATTTCATAGCTGTTTTGGCCGAAAAGTGAATCGGCCGAAAAACGGTCTCGCCCAAATTCTAAATCGTAATTGAAGTGGGCATGCTGTATAAGTATATATATATTATATATTATATTATAATATTACATTATTAAGTTTTTTTTTTAACCACCACGGCTTGAAGTTTCCGTTTTTTTTTATTTTAATTCTTGTTTCGATTATTCATTTGTTTGGTTTCCAAAAGTAATCATTCGTTTTGACAACACTGTAATTATAGTAAACAAGACGTGTATTATTATATATTACACATACGAACCTGTTCTCAGTTTTATTAATGCGGAGGAAAAAACCACATAGGTATACCTAATAATAACAACATGATATATGCCTATATACTTTATACCTATAAAAGGTATAGTACCTATGGACAGTGTATCACAGTGATACAAATATAGAACGACGACCATGATGAATATTGAATTCACTTAATTTTTTTTTCTGTGACTATTAACTATGAAACTATTGTATTGTGGACGGTTTTGGATTTAACCTAAAACCTAATTAAAAAATTTGTTAGTAGTCACTGTAAAGCCCTGATCAGATATTCAGAGGAGGGAAGGAACATTACCATTTTACCCCGGGCCCTCTTTTAGGACAATTTCTAGTGGCCCCCTCCATATGGACTTATGTATCAATACCGATAATGTTACATGATAATTGCTCCCATTAGGAGCGTATCTATGTAAAAATGTTTTTCTTTTTGTAATTTAAATAATACAATTTTATGTTTCTGTAATTTGTAATTTTATTATATTACATAAACATGCTACGTTTTCAGTAATATTAAATAAACTAATTCAAGGCTACAAAATTACAATATGTGGCGGTTTTGATAAAACATCAAGGGGAGGGGGGCTATTTTAAATTGTTGGGCTCCCCCCACCATAATTAAAGCAATTCAGGCATTTAGCGTAATTTCAATTAAAAAAGGTGGGTAAGTGTATGTCGCTCTGCTGTACAGTAGGTTACAAGTGGGTCACTGTAATGGATAATGTTAAATTTGAATTCAATGATATGATATCATTGTATAAGAAAAACGATTCTAAGCGAAAACGGCCGGTCAGCCTATAATATCACAAAGTATATTTGATGATATTATTGTGAATAAAGTAATTTATATATATTATAACCTATTTACGTGGAAACTTGTTTTAAATTTTCAATCCTATTAGCTATAAAAGTTGAACATTTCATAAATTTTTAACTACAAAATAATTATTAAATTTTAAATTTGATAAATTTTGTCAAAATTCAAACTTTAAATGCTTATAAAAAAAGTGTGCATATGTATATTTAATATTTTTCAACTGCTATTGTAACAATATATCAGGAGCATTGCATTAAATTTACAAGCTTTCTTACAAATCAAATAAAATTTTATTGATATTTATAATAGAAAAAAAAAAAAAAATGGCAAATTGAAAATGTCCGTAAACATCTCAATATTTGAGTCAACATTTCATGCGCCTACGGTTATTTGTTAGGTTTTCTGTAAGTACTGTTAAGTATTCATCTCTCCGCTCAGAATCTAAAAGAACATGCAATTAAAATCCAAGGGGGAGCACCCCCTTTGCCCCCCCGCCACCCCTAAAAACAGCCACTGTGCCGGCGATTGTCGAGTTGCAAACCGTTTGAACGACGGCACTTCGGCACCGACGACTGACCGCAACCCGTGCCGCGAGGATGGCCGCGCTCTAAACTGCAGTTCCACCGCTTCCCCAAATTGATGCAGAGGTGGGGGTGGATACTTACACATCGATGCGGCCACCAGCCACCCAGAGCGGAAGTGGTGGCGGGCCCAACCCATCAAACCACGCCGGACCCGCTTAGAATTCTGGAAGCGGCGTTGGCGGTGACGATGGATAGCTGAAGCACGCCGCTTCACAGCGACCACACAGTAAGGATTTGGCGGCGGAAAATCCACCTGTGTGGCTGGTAGAGCAGATCCGTCATCCGTGATCCCCTGTACGCTGTATGTACGTAAACATAATAACAAAACTAACTAATTGTTTTCTGTAATGTGCACTCCAAATCGAATGATTTTCCTGCCTCCAATTCGCATAAAAAATGCTTATCGCATTTGTCAGGTTTCTGATATTCAATTTCAAGATTATTACAACTGAACGAAGTAAAAATCCGACCATGTTAACATAGGTACCTATATTTCGTTGCTTATAAATAAATGTTGTAAGTTGTAAGAAAAATTAAATGTCGTATAGTGTTAAGATGATTTAGGGGGCACATAATCAGTTTGCTACTGATACCGAAAAACTTTGGGACTACTCTAGTCACTGCCATCTGTCACTGTAGCATATACAAAAGGGATGTTGGGTTTTGTCTTTAATATTATAATAACATGTAGGTACCTAAAGGATAATATTAAGAGGACGTCACACCCGCATGTGTTGTCTCCGTCTTACAAATGTACAACATAGCAAAAACTCTTTTGCGAGGGACAACTTTTTTCGCACCATATTTGTTGTAGAACTACCAAATTTTCACAGCACTTAAAGAAGAACTTTATCTGTGCAACAGCGTGCTCTTTTTTTCAATAACATATATACAATACAAGTTATTTGCTTCTAAACATTTGGTTTTTTAATTTGCTTATAAAAAATGATTGGATGGTGCTATTGAAAAAAAGAGCACGCTGTTGCACAGATAAAGTTCTTCTTTAAGTGCTGTGAAAATTTGGTAGTTCTACAACAAATATGGTGCGAGAAAAGTTGTCCCTCGCAAAAGAGTTTTTGCTATGTTGTACATTTGTAAGACGGAGACAACACATGCGGGTGTGGCGTCCTTAATGACTGATATAAAGCCCGGTCCAGACCAAGAAACATTTGTAGGAAACATATGTTTCTGACATTGTCGTCGACAAATATTTATGTTACCGCTTATGAGCGGTAATCAGAAACATTGTCGATGACAATGTTGGAAACACTTGTTTCTGACAAATTTTTCTTTGGTGTGGACGGTGCTTAAGAGTTCATAAATACAATTTTTGTTTTATATATTAGGTACATCCTACATAGATAATTAATAAAATCATAGTCGCGCTCGAGCAGAGTCGTCCGTCAAGGAAAGACGTGTTCCGTCGAGTTCGCTCCCGAGCCGTTCCTAGTCCGGTCGATCCGCTACACCCCAGCGTCACCAGCGCCTGCCACCCGCAGTTAAAGTCGCCAAGAGGACTCCGCTGGCGCGCACCACTTCCAAGGAGGCAAGTGCGGCCCCCCACCGGGCCTGCGCGCCCAGCCAGAGGACCCCCTCTACGCTCCCCACGGTTTTTCGGCCGTATCTACGTCAGGGTTGCTCCTAGAGCATCGGGACAAAAATTTTGCCCCCTCGACGATACCCTAGCAGCTTTCGGAGACTCCGACAAGACCCAGCAAACCAGGACCCCCTATCCCCCCCGGGGGAGGAGTTCGGGCCCACCGATAGGGACAGTGAGCTCCGCACCGCCACCCCGATAGGGACAGTGCGGTTAGATAGGGACAGTGCCTGCAAGTGTACCCCAACAGGGTCATCGCGGACAGGGACAGCGCTTCACCCCAGCCCCGGGGCCAGGCCCCCGGCGACGCCACGCTTCAACCAGACTCCGAACCGACCGCTCTCCGAGCAATGGCCGCCTCGCATGAAATGTCTGAGCCGAACTCATCCGACGGACCCTCGGTCAAGAAAATGAAGATCACAACGTCCCCGAAGTCCTCAGTAACCTGGCTGCAAGATCTTTGGGCGACACTTAAGGGAGTCACGTCGCACCTCATTAACGTACACAGGGATGCCAGGATGATTAATGACCGCGCGTCGGACGATGTTCTGCGGGCCGCAATGGAGCGGATTCTCGAGCATAACAACGAGGCGTTTGAGTGTCTAAATTCGTTGCTTAGCATGGATGGGGAACTGCTTAATGCGCCCAATTTTAGCGCTCCCACTGCATCTACATCCGACGCCTCCACGGACATGATCCTGACCCCGGGCTACTGGGATAGTGACGCGGTCATCGAGTCCAAGGCAGCCTCGGCACGCAGGTCAAGGAAACCGAAGGTAGCAGGCAAACAGACCGCACGGGACGCCGTTACCGACGCCATGGAAACGGACGGCGAGGAGTGGTCGAAAGTCGTCGGCAGACGATCCAGGCAAGGGAGAAAAACGGCGGCTGCTGCACTCCCACCCGCCGCAGGGTCCCGCCAGCGCCCGCCTGTTTTCTCCAATAAACCGCCGGCCATCCTAATCCAAAACGCGGCCGGAAAGTCCTACCGGGACACCATTCTGGCAGTGCGGAATTGCGGGTTGACCAGGGAGGAGATAGGCACTAGCGTCACTATGAGGCAGACACGGGACGGATGTCTCCTCCTGGAGCTACCCAAAGGAAGCAGCTTAACGAAAGCAGCCAAGACCATCGCTTCAGCCATGTCAAGCAAGCTTGGCGACTCCGTTGGGAAGGTGGTCCAGCTCGGGGTCCAGGTGGAAGT